AACTATAAGAAAGTGAAAATCAAAATCAACAAAAAACTATGAACCAGAGATACTTTTTGGGGGGTGGGAGGGGAGGGATTGGGGTCAGAATGGGGGGTTGCAATTTTATGGGGAATATAAAAATAAAATTAATTATTTAAAAAAAAAAAAGAAGACATTCAATCTCCTTTACCACCTGGCTCCAAACAGCGAGACTCCAACCTAGACTCAGCCATACGCCATGACTTACCACACCTCTGTACCTGCCCATAACATGTCCTCCCATCTCCTCTCTTCCCTTCCTAGCCAACAAGTCATATACATGGTCCATGAAGTTGTATCAGATTACCATTTTGAACATTACCTACCCTAAAGAAAAATCAATAAACATTTCTCTGAGCTGCAAACATTACTTTGCTTTCCCACATGAAGTTTACTGATCAAAATTATATTACATTTTTCACATAAGGGTCTATAGATGACTACATTTAACCTATAGTCATCTACCTTAGATTGCAAACTCCCCAAAGAAAGAAGCCAAATTCATTCATCAAGTACTCCTAGCACCTAAATAACTACCTAGCACTCATAAGTGCATAATATATATGAATTCACTTTAACCATTTCTCTCCATGTTTTCTCATCCATCAAACAGAATTAAGAATATTGTTCTTTGGGACCTTCCCAATGGCACAGCTGGTTGAGCACAGCACTGTGAAGCTGTGCTGTGAATCCTCTCACCCTCCTGTACCTCTGGACTGTACCCCAGATCTTGTAAAAATTTTTTTTAAATAATTAATTAAAAAAAAAAGAATGTTTGTTCTTCCAAGGCTGTTTTTATATGGTTGTTACCAATTATCCAGCATGTCATGGTAATACCTATACAAATTCATTTCCTAAGTTGAAGCCAAACCCTTGTATGTAATTTTTTTTTTCCTTTTTCTAAATCTTGTACAGCTATCTGCATAGTTTGACTTTGTTTTCTCCTACCTGATATTCTGCCTGGCTATAGATAAAGGAATTCCTGGTTTGTTTTCCTACAATTGATTGCATGTGATATGATGTCCTATAGAAACTATTTATGCAGAGAAACTATTTATGAGAGTTCTTTTCAGAAGCAAATGAATATGAAATAAAATCTCAGGGTAGGGGGTGGGCAGAGTTGCTTGCTTGCTCTACCCTAACCCTGAAGATACTATTCTTTTGAGGGGATAAAAAAATCTAAATAGTCTGCTAGAAACTATATATGATGCTTCTACTCAAATGTAGTTTTTTAATAAATTTTTGCTTCTTTAGTCAACAGAAACAGCAGTAGGAGAAACAATCTAAATGTACCTCAACAGATGGAGGGGTATATAAATTGTGGTATATCCATACAGTGGACTATTATGCCACAATCAAAAGGAATGAATGACTGACACTTGAACCATCAAAACAAGTATGCTGGATGACAGAAGCCAGACCAAAAGAAGTGACAAAGAAAGTACATGCTATTTGATTCCATTTACATAAAACTCTTGAAAGTACAAACTAACCCTAATAATGATAGAAAGCAGGTGAATGATTGCTTAGGTATTCAGGAGAGGTCAAGGAGGAGGGAGGGAAGAATTACAAATTGTTGTGAGGAAGCTCTTGTAAGTGATAGATTTGTTCACTTTTGTGATTATGGAAATGGTTTCATGGGTATACACATCTGTAAAAACTTGTAAAATTGTGTATTTTAAATATATACAATTTATTATATGTCAATTATAAATCAAAGCTAAAAAAAAGAGTAAGTGAACAGAGGTGAATGAAAAGTGAGACTCTCCAAGAACATATATAAACAATGCTATTTTTAAAGTGGTTTTCAAATAAGAAAGATATTCAATATGCTCAATACTAACAAAATACCTTTCCAGAATGACATTTTCCTGAAAATGTCATTTTCTTGGAAGATAGGAATTGTATTTTTGAAAGGAGCAGCCAGGTTGCAAGCAGATGATTAATTATCATGGAAAATCATTGATGTATCATTGCAATTTCACAGTATTTCTTACAGTTAAAATAAAGCTCCTTCATATCTCTCAAAAAGGTATTGTGAGGCTTTAATTGATTTGTGTTGGTAAAAACCCTTGGTTACCATCATGGAAAATAATTGAATTAAGCATCAAAATATAAATGTACAACTTTTGTTATTGTTTTTAATATTTATTTTTCTTTAAAATAAACACTGCAGGGTGCCAACTATCCTAACATATTATTAAATCAGGAAAGAAACTCAACACAGAAGCTTACACATCTGTTGATTTAATGCTGAATTACAGAATCTATATAGATATTTAAAGAAACTCGTGTTGCTATCTCTACATAGTGGATAATTTTGCAAATGCCACTTGCCCACTCAAAAAGTAATAGCAATAATTTGTGCAAAATGCACTAAGGTATATAAATCCTAAAACATAACCATATGCTTTGTTTATGAAAAGCGAGTTGTTGGGGGTGGTGTTTTTTGTTTTCTTTCTTGGCCTTCTTTTTAGAAGAATAATTTAACATTAACTAAACAGCATAGTAAGGAAATAAATATAAATAATAATGTTTATCAGAGGACAATGCAGGTACTTATGGAGATGGAGTAACTCAGAGTTTGTTTGAAAGGTGTTTTAACAGGCCGTGTGGAGAATAACAGGCACAGCACGCAGCTGAACAGTGACTGCTCATAATTGTCCTTGAGTATCACTCAACGGCGATCCACGCACACTGGATTTTCAGTAATTGTTAAACAGTAAACAGTAGTCTTCATAATTTTAAAATTGAAATTTGATATTGTAACTTAACATTCAGTGAGCAAGTCTGGAGACTGCAGTTCCTGACTATTTACAAAGCAGAGATAAAGATGTTCCTATTTTATCTGTGTTCCAACCAATCTAATCAGACATGATTAGAGAGAAAAACCCACTCAAGAAAGTGTTGGTTAGTATATGAAACAAGACTATCCATTAGGAGATAAATATTTTAAGAAGGATCTTTGCTCTAGGTTAGAGATCCACAACAAAGGGGATGATGGTTTCCACATATTGGATGAGAATGTCATTATGAGGCAGGTAGGGATACCTGCAATTCATTATGGTCAGCTTTAAGGAGTTCTACAGTTTATAAGGCCAGAAATATAATAATCATAAGTCACAACTGGCAATTTAAATTTAAATGTAAATTAATTTCCTCATGTGCACTGGCCACATTTCAAGAGTGCAGTAGAGTCAGATGGTTAGTGGCTCCTATACTGGACAGTACAATATAGAATAATACATCATCAGAGATAGCAGATAGCACTGGGCTAGAGTAAAGCAGAGGCCAGCACAGGGATGCTGAGAGGGACTCTGTAATGTGGATTTGAAAACAGGGATGCACACTAGTTACAAAGGGGCCATATCATTCAACTTCCAAAGAGAAGGGAGACCTTGGTTCATAGTCTGGTTTTCAATAAACAGCCTAGGGTTTAGGTGCCTTTTATGTCCCCATGCCCTCTGGGACCTCAAATCTGAGTGTGTATTTTCCATAAAATATTAAATCAAGAGAAATTAAGACAGCACACTTAATGTGAAATAAAGTTCATATACTCCTGTTTAAACACAGATTAGAATTTCTGTCAGAACAATGCCAGTGAAAAGTTGACATTCTAATTAATACAATTTACATTATAAAGCACTGAATATCTTTATCTTGCTATTATGAAATGCCCTCTTTAAAAAAATAATAAAAAGGCTCTACTCAATAGAGAATTGAGTACTCAGGGCAGTAGTTAAAATCCTTGTACAAGAGAGGTGGTTAGGTCACTGGCATTTTTACACACCATCAACACAGGTCTCCAAAACCGAAAGCAATACATTCATCCTCTACCACATAGTTTTGCCATTCTTCATCATCCACAAGGCTATTTGCATGCAACATTAGGACTTTGAGACTTTTTTCTTGCAATGATATAAAACACAATGTAAAACATAAATAACAAAAAATTAAAACATCCTCTTTCCCCTCTTCTCTCTCTCCCTCTCTCTACAGCTCCCCACCCCTCACCATCTTTCTCTTACTTAACATTACAGACAACAGTTCTGGAAACCTGGAAAACTGCAGTCATGTAGGACTCCCACATAGTATTTACTCCATCCAAATTCTGTGTGTGTAAGAGGGGCAGAAAATCAACCCCACAGTTGGGTACCCAAGGATTCGTGTTCATTGCCTTTGTCAATTTTATGCTATTGGTGAAAGGAATAAAGATGAGATCCTTAAAGCTTGAATTTTCATTTCCTATGACAACGTGCTTTTTCTTCATGCTTTATCACACTCCACTACTTGGTTTCCACCCCTTCATAATTGATATCGGCCATTTGAAGCATTCAGTAAAAACCTCATGAGGTTCATCAAATGTCCCCCAGTCTATAATTCTTGCTTCTAACATATTCAGAAGCACATTCATCCAAGTGTTTTCCACTTCCGCTCCATGGTTGTCCCCATGCACAGGGACGAGTGCAGTGACAGTTGTATTAATTATGCTAAAAAAACCCACATAGCTACAAAAATGATGAAGATCATCATTTTAAATATTTTATTAAAATAACCCAGTGTAGAACAGATAAAGTATATCCTCCTGGTAATGAGAGGTTCATTAATTTTACAAGAATTCTAGAAAGCTTAGAATGGTCATCAAAATTATCTCTTCCACTTATTTTTTTAAAAGTGTGGAAAACCTTCTATTGTGAATTTAGAGAGCAGGGGTCTAGTAAAATTTTCTAAGATATTTCTGAAACAATTGCTTTTCTGGAAAAAAATTTTGAAAGAATAGCTTGAAATATGGAGGATTTAGATTTTATAGTATTACTTGAAGTGGCTGTAAATTTTCAGCTTCTGCATTTACCCATTAAAACGCGTATTCATTAGCATATAGTGACTTCTGATAAGTAAAATGATATTCTCCATAACGAACAAGCAGCACATTAAAATTCTTTCATTACTAACAACAAGAACAGTATAATCTTGCTTACCAAGTGTGTTTCCAGGTACAGTTTAAGGCTATCTGTCTCTGCTTTAGGGGGAGTCCAATTCTCAGTGGTCTCCATGGCTTCATTTAACCATTGAATGAATTCATCCAGCTTGTTTACAAACCCCTGGTGACAAGAAAGAAAAAGGGGAGAAAGAATAAGAAAGGCATGTTAGTTTGTTATTTTTTTTAAATCAATCTTAGAAATTCTAAACATCACCGAAGATAAAATTGATGTCACTGCTCTCCTGCCCTAGTTCCATGCCTTAGAACACAATTCCCACTACTCCTGGCGCTGAAATCTACCAAAATGAGGAGAAACTGTCCCAGACTTCTTCTCAGTATTTTTCCTAAGAATACTTTCCTCAGGAATTTAGATTGGATTGCAGGGTGTCACTGCAAAGATGACCTCAAATCATCAAAATATTTCTGGTGTCTGACAAGTGCCCCCTCACCAAGAAATCAGGTCAGGTCCGGAAGGAACACTCGTTGTCTTGGGAGGATAAAAGTATTCTGCAAGATGATGTTCTTTACTCAGAAACCTATAAATTTGAGTTGCTTTAACTGAACTAGAAATCTATTTTTAAATCACATACGTGTTTAAAGGGACTTGGGTGAGTTCTTCAGAGAGCCCAAATGTCTGTGGCTGAGCTTGGGTTCAAAGAAGTAAGGCCGGGTAGAAAAGTACCGATGACAGAAGTAAACATCTGACTCTGGGTGCTTCTCAGACATAAAGAAATATTCCTGGCTAGGAAACACGAATTACAATAATTCTGAAAATTTTCAAGTTGTGGTTATAAAAATTTATTGACCATTTAAAAGAACACATCTGTAAAAACAGAAAATATTTTTGAAAAAATGAAAGACCAGCTATGAACCTAAGAGGAAATGAGGCTGGGAGCTGCTTCCTATAGCTAGGTAAACAGCCCCACCTGGAGGTTCAAATGTGTAAAGACAGGCTTCTACATTTGATGCATCAAGATGGCTTTAAGACGCTATTAAACAGTTCTTCAGATTTGCCTTTGGATTGATTTTGATTGATATATTTAATGCTTAACTGAGGATATCCTGAAACTGAAGTGAGAAATTCTTTTTATTTATCATGCCTCTCAAAAGCTAGGTTTTGTTTTTAAGCTCTCTACTACATAATAGTTAGATTCATAATCTTTTAATTCAAGCAATTGATTGACCTCAAAGTTACTTGAAACAACAACAAAAAAGGATTTAAATGGTATACATACACTCAGAAACATATATCTATCTATCAGAGAGGGTTAGGGGCGAGATGAGGGCACAGAGGATCCTGAGGTTGGATGAGACAGGAATTCCGCCATGCTCTATTATGCATGGAGCTCAGCTTGTCACCCACCAATGTTCCTATGTGATACCCAAAGCTGCTGTCAAAAACATTCCTACTGCCAAGTGTTAGAAGACAATCACAACTAGGGATGCATATCACAGTTCACTTTCACAAATGCAAAATTTTCCATTCACTATCGTTTTGAAAGTATGACTTAATCAGGTACTTTGGCAAAACCAACAAGAAATACCATATTAGAGGCATCTTAATTAGAAATGGAGGCCAATACAATTACAACTGGTTGAATGACAGCTGAACAGTTGGAAACAAGATAGTTCAACAAGCTTCAAGTTCTAGCTTTGACACTAAACTGATGACATCACTGAGGCTTCCTATGATCCTTACTCAGAAGAGTTTTTTGTTTTTGTTTTCAGTGAAGTGAAAATGTATCCAAAAGGGAAGGATTCATGAATTTCACATGATGCATTTCCATAAATCTTAGAGTAACTTTGATTTCATTGTCTCCCAAATACTTAACTCTTAACATAGAAATCATATCCAGTCATATTTTCTCAGGAAGCTTCCCATCCTTTAAAAATGTCAGTCCCCAAGTCCCTCTTTCTGGTAGACTGCCTAGGACCCAGAGTACTTCAGAAATTTAGTTCTGACTTGATATTTACTATACACCTCTACAAATGTGTACTTAAATTTGTCAGCAGAAAAAAGGAAAGGATCTCTTAGAAGTGAAGTCCTAATTCCTGACACTCTCATAATTAGAATTCTATAAAAATTAAGAGAAATTTCACTGACCAATTGGATTTATAGACATATCATCTATAGAACCTGATCAGAGTATCAGAGTCTATCCAGATGGTTGATCATATTGAGATAAACATTGTATTTTGAGATAAACATTATTTAGACTTGGATATACCTGTGTGTATATACACACACCCCAATATGCACAGATACATATATATTAATTTAGGGAGAAAATTAAGTCTGAAATAAATTATTTGGAAATTAATGGTTAAATCCAGGAAAACACAGTGAGAGATGTTATTTGATACGTCACCAGTATTTAGACTGTTATCAACCGCTTCCTCTAAATAACAACCAAACAAAACAGTGTGTATATGTGATTGTATAAGGTTAGACTTAGTTAGCCAAAGAGTATTAAAAATGTGTGTAAGATTTCCTAACAGAACCATGATTACAGCTAGCTGAAATCCGTGAGATACAGATGAGGCAAAACCCATGTATCTAGAAGAATCTTTTATGGACGATCACTTCTTGCAGGCCAGCCAGGCAGCAAAGCCAAGGCTGTCAGCTACAGAGAAAACAGACAACTTACAAGGCTTCGCTCTGGGTTTCCTCTTAATTATAACCCACTTTCACCAATTCTCATCTGCTACACATTTTTTCATCTCTTTTCTTACAGGTGTTAAAGTTTTATCCACCACAATAGAAACCTGACAAATCCCTATGTTCTTAACTTGTAATAAAAAGCTAAGCACTCCTCCCTCTTAGGGACACCTGAGCCTTCTACCTCCCGTCCTGCTTCTATGTGCAGCCACAAGAATATAAACAGGAATCATGAAAGCAAATGAAGAGGAGTCCATTGAATCTTGATACCTTTGTCACCTGCATTTCTCCCCTTTCCTGGCCCATTTCTCTGTGTATTGTCACCAGTGTTCAGTGCAGTGGAAAGTGTACTAGGTACCAGCTTCATATCATGAGATGCTCTTCTTAGAAAGGCCAAATGAATGTCACCAGTACACTCAGCCACGTGATGTGCAGGAGAATTTACATTTGGACACATACAATACATACTTCAAAAACATTTGCAAAAGCTCTGTTAAAGTCATGATGGTGTGAATGAAGAAAAACAAGGCTGACATAGATAACATCAGTACATGGGGAAAAATACAAAAGTTTATTTATTTTGTAATACAGGTCAAATACTAGTACAACAAATACAGGTTATTCATGTAACAAATATTAAGTGTCTACACTGTGTAGGCACACTGCTGGGCATTACTGGAATTAAAAAGATAAATATCACTAAAATTTTGAGCAGAACAGAAAACATGTCTAAGCACTGACTTGCTGAATTCAAGTAATTTTAATAATTTAAAAAAGCCTACTATCAATAAAGAGTTGAGACGTTTCACAACCTGCATTGTGAAATGCACCCTGCCTCTGCCAACTTTCCCTATTCTTAGTATTTCCCTGTCCTTAGTATCTGTGTTTGTTTCTCTACTATTCCAAGTTCATACTTTCCTGAAGAGTCAAAGATGACTACAAAAATCAGATGTACTTCATGACCAATCCAATGCTGCCATTACACTACATAGAAAGCACATTTTACAAATGTTCAACTTCCGTGCTACAGGCTTAATTATAAATCTTTGAAAAGCCACATTTTAACCTTCTTTGTCCAAACTTCCACTGATGCATTTGCTCATTCTCTCTCCTGTCACTGTATACCATCATTTTCCTTTTGTCCCTTTCTGCCTCCCTGCAAGCTCTACAATAAACTAGTCCCTAGGCCCCAGTCCTCCCAGGTCCTCCCCACCCATCCACCCAACTGTCTCCTTCTGGATGGGTTTCTTGTCATACTCATATCTGAGTCTGTAAACTCTTGATTTGAGACAAGCCAGGATTCAAATTTCAGAACAAATCCTGGTCATCAGAGTTGGGGGAAATGGAACCGTAGTTAGCTGTGCAACCACCAGTTAGCAGCATAATTCCCACTTCTAGATCATTGTGTTTTGAAAGTTCCTTAATGAGGTACTGTTTAAAAATCTTACTTTCAAACTTTCTACTTTAGAAATCTCTTTAAAGACTAAGAAGCATAGTGAAAGTGCATGCATGTGTACACTTACAGATTTATGAAAACTTTGCTAGAGCCCTCAATGGGTTATCATACATTGAAGATTATATTTGCAAGGAAAATTTATAATCAAGTATTGCAAATAGCTACACACTCTTAACAGGTCGACAATGCTCATTATTTCCTTTACTTTCCTACCTATTTGTCTCCCTCCTACACAAACCTTGTTTGGTTAAATATAAACAGTGGGGGTAATTACTGTTGCTCTCTGGCAAGGTGTTTGTGTGGATAAAGAGGAAGGAAAGCCTTCCTTACACAACATAAGGGAGCAGGAAACTGATACAGCAGGAAACAAGGCTTGGTGGTTATCTTAGGGAGTTGAAAGCTTGGGGTAGCTTTTAATAAAATGACATGATTTTTAGACCAAAGTGAAACTGAAAATCACTTCTTTAAAAGGGGGATTGTCACCATAAACTCTGTGAAGTCATGCTGGTTATGGCTATTTTACAGGCTGTATTTTACTGAGGATCAGAGAAGGTGAGTGATTTGCTGAGTGACAGTGGGATTAAACCCATATCTCATTCCAGAGGCTATTTCTCTCATAGCACCACATTGTCCTCTAGAAACAGCACTCCTAGAGACAAATCATCAGACCCAGGCGAAAAAGAAACATTTCTTCTCAGTCCCACAGTCTTGTCACTAAGGTAAAATTCTCTAAACTCTTAAGTCCTTCCCTTCACATTCGCTACTTTCTGGCAATTTTTCTGAAACGGGATTTGTGATAAGGCTAAATGCCTCACAAGAAAAGTGCTTTTTCTTAGCAAGCAAAGATCACTGTAAAGTTCATTTCTAATTTACAGAAAATTTTAAACTAAAAATTTAAGGCAGTTCCATGCTTGAACAAGCCCCATTCTACCAGTATCCCAATTATAAAGATTGGTCCAGCTCAGCAAGACGGTCCTCAGTCCCTAGGTGGTAGTTGAGTCAGTGA